GCCGGCTCCCAAAGTGTTTTTGACTCTCCTCTCTTCTCATACTAGTCTCCAACTGTTCCTCGCCTGCCTCTGCATCCCCACCCCCAGCTCCATCTCCTTACCAACCCCAGGGTCATCTTTTCCAGGTTGCAAACTGATCAGCACTCTTGAGAGCCTACTGAGGCTGGGGTGGCTCTACTACATGGCATTTCCGCTTCCATCTGCTGGCCCCCCTTGCTGTTGGGCCTCTCAGGCATGAACCTGAATTTGGGGAGAGACTCCAGCATCTTAGACAAGTCTCAGTAAAGCAGGATGTAGAGAACAGTACCGCTTTCCTCAGGCAGCAGGATGTGGCTACACAGAGGAGCCTCCTGTCTCTTACGGAGCCCTTTGTGCTCCAGTTGCTACAGAGCTGAACAGCTTCCCCGGGGGACCTTGAAATGTGTCCTTGAGACCGCTGGAGAGAGAACAAGGGACTGCTTCCAGTGACCTGTGAGGATGGGAACAAGGATGTCTCCACAGATACCATTGTTGTACTTTCCAGGCTCAGGGGCTCCCCATGAGACTCCCAGAATTAGCCGTCTGAGATCAGTCTCCCGGGGAGTGATGGGGTCACAGCAGGCCTGGGACTGCTTCCCCAAAACTAAGCTGCCACTTTTGCCCACCCAAGCCTTTGGATTATGGGTCAGATGTGAGTATAGTCTGAATCTCCCTGGAGTCAGCAACTCCTGACCTAGGGTCTAGCAAGAGTTGGGACTGGGAATTCTATACCAACTGTGAAGGCCAGAGAGACACAGGTGAGCACCCACACGTGTAAAGTCCTGTGTTGTAGGGTGCACAATGACCCCCCTAGGACACTGACCATGCCTATGTGTTCCACCATCTGGGTAAGTACATGACAGCCTGTGTTTACAGAGCCTTCACCTTGTGCAAAGCCATTTCATGCTGTGGAATCGACTTGCATAGCCCTTTCTACTTGCAGCGAGCCCAATGCCACCATCTTCATCTGGGGATGGAGAGGCTTATACGCACAGTGGTCCAGTGCTTTTCCCAGGCTCCTGCTAGCATTTGGGTGCAAGCAGCTCACCACCACTGCTCAAGTTTCTTTTCCCAGGCCTGTGCCCTGCTTCCTGGTAACCCCCTATGCATGAAACCCCCTCCCTTATCTCCTGTCACAGAGTTCACACAAAACTGAGCACTTAAGAGAGGAGAGAGGGGAGAGGCCTGGTCATCCCAGCATAGTATCTGCCATTCGTGCCTAAGGACCTGGGCTCATCCCCGGTACCTTCAGATTATATATAATAATATTACATATATAGACAGACTTATAATCACACCATGTATCTAGCTAACTTCGTAGTGGAAGAAGCAGACTTCCAGTATTAGTTAGCTTTCCATCCCTGTGACAGAGAGCCTGGGAATAAATCAGCTTTTGCGACGAGAAGACTGTTTTAACTCACAGCTTCCGAGGTCTGCTCCATTATTTGGACCCTAAACTGAGGCACAAGTTCATGGCAACAGAAGTTTGTGGAGGAGGGAGAGGCTGAGTCTATTGTGGTAACCAGAAAGCCAAGGGACAGAAAGTGACAAAGAAGGAGCAGGGTCTAAAAACAACTATCTGATCACACGCCCAGTGGCCTGTGCCCTTCCACTGGACCCCACCCTCTAACCCCTCCCTCGGTAGCTGGGGACCAAGGCTTGAACATGTGAGTTCTCGAGGGACATTCCAGATCCACACTCTAATACTGTCCAAGACCAGGAACTTGGATCTGAGTGAGAACCAACTAAAAGGCTGACTTCAATGACTAAAGAGCCACCTGCCCTCTCTCCATTCTGGTCCCATTTGCTCTCTCGACCCCAGCAGGAAAGAACTCAAGCAATGAACCATCTTGTCTAATTTTGGCAGTTTCATAACAATAACCTTGGGGGTCTCTCAGCATCCAGAGTGTGCTGTCCTTGAGGAACTGGCTAACTTCAGCTATGACTGGTGGGGAGCTGAATGGGCGCTCTGCCCAGACCTCCCTCTCTTGTCTAGAGCTTGCATGACTTAAGAGCCCAGCATAAGTGACACTCACTTCCTTTGGGTTGGGAAGGTTTTGTGAGTTCCCAGTCCGGTCTATGCAGGACAGACAACTCCCTCCTCATCAGTAGGGGACTACAAGCTGTCAGCTGATTCCAGTGGTATTTGTTCCCCACTCAGGCATGGTTCTGTGGCTGACAAACCGAGGCCCCTTAGACAAGTCCCTTCTCTTCTATGGATTTTCCTCAGTTTCCCCGTGTGAACGGGAAGAAGTCAGCCTGGCTATGGTGAGCCACAGTTCCTGTTTTCCAGAAGAGGAAGGAAGGGAGGAGACTCAGTTACTGAGCACCCACCAGAGTCAAGTGGTGCCCCGACTTCCACACAATACACACATTGACCCGATCCCAGGAACACTTGTGGAGGGAGGGGACACCTGCAACTTCCAGATCCAAAGTCACATTCCACTCATCACACCCGAGTCTGGGGATCCAGCCCTTGCCCTCTTCTAGACCCTGGTGGATGAAGAGTGACTGGCTTTACCACCAGACCAGCCATTACCATGTGACTCAGGCTTGGCCAACCAGAGCAACTCTTGTGATTACAGAGCCGGGTGTGTGGCTCAGGCCAGGCCAATTGCAATTAGTCCTGGCATTTTTGCGGGAGTGGTGAGATGATTTCTTTGCCAATTGGTATTCCTGCTTCCCTATGGGAAGACTCAGTTAGTAGTGAAGCAGACACAGAACAGTGCAGACTTGGGGCAGGCTCACAGTGAGGGATGAGCTTCTGGGATAGGCTGTTCTGAGTCCAGACTCATCCGGTAAGCTTTAAGGTTCAAGCACCCTTTCTGGCCCAAACTGGCTATTATTACTGGTTACTGTTGCCCGCAGCAGAAAGAACCAGCACCCAAATTCTGGCTATGACCTGGGCATTGTTCTCATTTTACCTACAGGTAGGGACACTGAGGCTCCAAGATGCAGAGTAAATGCAGAGGGGGCTTAATGACCATTTCCTCCTCTCCCTCCAGCGACTGCTCTGGGACTCAGTTCCCCGCCTCTCACTTTTCTTCCACAAAGTACAGAAGCCAACTCAAACCCCTCCTGCCTCTACTTCCCAAGTGCTGTGATTACAGGCGTGTGCCTCATTCTGAGCTCTCATCTGCAAACCGGACGAAGACAGAGCCTCCCCCAGAGCTGCAGTGAGAAAGTAGGCACATTACCTCAGGTGAAGCTCTCAGGGCAGAGTCTCCACAGGACGGCGGAAAGGGAAGTAGCCTTAGTTTTTCACCTGCTGCCTGCCTTTTGCTAGTTGGTTGATCCCAGACAGCCATGGCCCAGGTTACAATATGGTCTGTCAGTCACAGAAGCCATAGCAAAAATTATCCAGAAATCGCCAGAGGCTTCAAATAATCTCGGACACATTGTTTCTAAAATGCGGATTTTCCTAAAACCTCCCCTGGGGTTGAGCAGACCTAAGTTGGCCTTAGGAAGTGAAACCTCTTCTAAGTGAAATTCCAAGTTATCAGGCCTTTGCTGACTTTCAGGAAACAGAGACGAAGGGACCCCACCATTTCCGAGGCTCCCCCCACTTCGGCACGCTCCACAGCTGTGGAGAGGAAATATCTTGCCTTACAGTTTATAGCAAGTGCAACCCTGGTGGGTCACTCAGTTCCAAAGGGTGCATTAGTCCCACAAAATGTAAATACGAAGGCCAGAAAGTAGCAACCAGAAGTGGAAGGAACTTGCCATGGATTCCTGTGCTCCTGGATCTCCTGAGGTACAGGTTGGGGGGGGGGGGATGAGGGGAGCCTTTTATCTGAGTCACACCAGTCAGGCAGGGTTGGTACCCAGGTCTGACAGCTGTCCTGAATCCAGCTGTGTGTCTCTGGGGTTCCTAATGGCATTTCCAACAATTTTGGAGCCCTACCTTTGCAACAGGCATACACAGGCTCAGGGTCTAGGGTTACTGTGGGGCCTTGTACCGAGTAAGCCTTGTGTGTAGATGACATCATTGGACTTGCCAAGGGCCCCACTAAGATGAAGACTGGCTTGGCCTTGGCCCTTGGGCTCAGGTGAGGTGGGATGGAGGTACAATCCTCTCTGGGACCCTCTAGAAGCTACACCACCTCTCTAGGCCTCGGTTTCCTCACCTGTAAATGGGGCTGATGACTGTTCTTTCCTCTCATGTAGTGTGAGGTTTAAGGAAGGGCACTCCTGTAGTGCTGGGAACAGAGTTGGACCCATGGGACAGAAAGGCCACCATGCAGGTCTGTGGATATGAGCCCCATGGGGCTGGGCCTGCATTCCTATGAACTAGGAGAGGAGGATGAGTCCCTTCTAGGGGACAGGCTGTCGTGCCAAGGAGGAACCACTTCCCTCCCTCGGTTGCCTTCCTCTCGCTGAGTGTTGAAGCCATAATTCTACATTAAAAGGACTTTCCTGGAACGGAAAGAGAAAGGAAAAACGCCCTCTTCCAGCTCAGAAAATGAGCAAGTTCCTCAAGTTCCATCCTGGAGATCTGTGGACACACACACTCGCATACTCACACTCCCGTCTTCCTAAGTGAAAGGGTACAGTGAAAGTTGAACTCTCTTGAATAGCTCAGTACAAGGTCCTGGAACTTTCTCTGTAGACCTCGAACTCACGGAAGATCTGACTGCCTCTGCCTCCTGAGTGCTGGGATTAAAGGTGTGAGCCACCACCGTCCAACTACACTTTGATCCCTCTCCTATCTTCCTCCTTCCACCTGTGGTTGAATTTGCGAAGCATCCTGTCTGCTCCTTCGTATCTGAGTGTGGTCTGTGGCTCTGCGTGCCCCCGGGTACATGTGCGGTGGCAGTGGCAGAGGGCTTTCGCCAGGTTTCCGACTCGTCCCTGGCCTGTGGCCAGGCAGGCGCAGCGCTCTGCCATAGACTCGGGGCGCGGTGGTGGAAGCTGGGCGGGGGTAGGGTGCCCTGGGGCTGGTGTTGGGCGGGCCCCTCAGCGGCTCCTCCCCCGCGCCCGCCTCCGCGTGCTCCCGCCACCCCCGCGGCCTCCGCCACCGCACCAAGCCGCCTGGCAGCCGCCGCCAAACTTTCCCCGGAGCCGGCGCGGGTGAGTCGGAGCGGCGGCGCGGGCAGGGGCGGGAACCGGGTGGCGGGCGAGGATGCGCTCAGACCAGGCTCTGAGCTCCTCGCCCCCGCAGGGCGGCGGGGATACCCCGCAGGTAGCCGCACGAGGTGGGCGCGCCGGTACCTTGGCGACGGGGGCGACCTGGGTAGGATTGCAGAGCTGTGGCTACTGCGCCCGGACGCACAAACACCTGTGGCTTCCAACGGCTTGGTCCAGGCGCGCCGGTCCTCGTGGGCTTCGCGACTCCTGGGCCGGAGGGCTGCCTCTGGGGCTCCTCGAGCTTCCTGGGGGGGGTCTGACTTTGATGCAAACGGTGAACCCAGCCTCAGGGTGGAGGTGCGATCTCCGTGCCAAGCTCCGGGTATCCACTATCTTTCAAATCCTCCTGAATTCCCAGGACCCAGGTACTAATATACCCACTCTACAGAGGAGGAAACTGAGGCTAGGGGAGGGAAAGTTGTGCCGCAGAGAAGAGCCTTGAGCCTAAATTGGATGAATCCAAGCTACTTAGGTAGGTGGAACCCAAACCAGGTGTCTGGGTATGAGAAGCATCAGAACCTGCACTCCCTTCTTTCCCAGCTGGCTGTACCATCTTCTGGCTGTACCAGAAGGGATCCTTTGGGGAGAAAAGGGTGGATGCTGTGGCCAGGATGTGGATTATGGTGGCAGAGGTCCGTGGGGGGGGGGGCTCCTCTTTCGGGGAAGGGTTGGGGGATACCAAATTCTGGGATTTACGCCGCGTTGTTCTGGAAGCAGAGCACAGCGGTTCTCTACAGAAGCCACCTTTTGAGGCGCTTGCTAGCCCGGGGATGCTCCAGGCAGGGTCATTGTCCTCCGACAGGGGGCTCCCACCGCAGACCAAGTGGAACTGAGAGAACCGGCAGTATCCGGCTAGAAGATACCCGGGGCTGGGGTACTTGGAGAGCACATTCCGTTCTTGGGGGAATGTTGGGGTGGGGGGGCGGGGAGAGGGAGGGCCGGAACCTGAGCGTAGGTGAAGTGTGTCACTGGATCACGAAGAGGGCAGGTGGGGCTCTGAAGGGAGGACTTGAATGCCCCCCTCTTGGCTTTGTTCCTGGGACCCACCAGCAGCCCAGCCCTTGGAAACAGAGGAAGAGCCCACTGGAGATGGTTATGGATTAACATAGTTTATCCAGCAGCCTTGCAAGGCACCAGTACTGAGCAAGAGGTGGAGACTCAGAGAGGTTGAATAGATTGCCTAGAGTTGGCCAACTGGTCGGTGGTGGAGTGGGGATTGATTGGGTACCAGGCTTGCCTGTATCTTGGACTATCAGTGAAGCTCAGGTGGCAGATGGAACCTCACTCAGGTCCTTCTGTGCTGTGGCTGACGGCAGTGGAGATAAACAATAGAGGGTGCTAGGCAACAGGGTCCACAGCACCCCTGCTTCTGCCTCCTGTAGGTCTCTTTGGGTGGGTTGCTGCCACTGAGTTCCTTCTTACAGGAATCCCTGCTCACCCCGCGTTGATATCCTGCTGTGACCCGGGGCTAGATGGACCTTCAGTCCATGGCCACCTCGCTACCCGCAGAACGTTGTGCCTGGTGGAGGACAGGGTTTGTCTGATGCCGTTTTCAAATATGACAAAGACCTGAAAAACCAGCAGGTAGCTAGGTACCACCCATCTATAATATCAGAGCTTGTACAGAGGCCAGAGCTGCCTGCCGAGGTCCCCATCACCCCCCAACCTCCCAGAACACAATCTAGACAATCAAGGCTTGAAGGGGGTCCCCGGCCTTGATTTGAGTGTGGTAGACGGTGTTTATATGTGGATTTCTCCCCTTGCACACTTTCCCTTCTAAAGCCAAGGAGTGCCTGGTAGAAGCCCAGGGGCTCTTCCTCAGTAGCAAGGCATGGCAGAGAGGTTGTAGGTGCATTTCTGGGCCCAATCACCTGCTGTCTCTTATGCGCCGTCACAAGCTGCTCCACCTGTTTCTGTCTCCCCATGTTTCGAATGGAAGTGTTCGTGGTTCCTTCGTCCCTGGGCTGGTGAGAGCATTCGACTGTGTTCACATTGACAGGGCGCTGCAAAGGTACCTTGTAATTCACCAGAGTACCATGTAAGTGCAGCTGTTGTCACTGCCACCGGGACAGCCTCAGCACAGCAAACCTGTGCACTCCTGGCCGCTGCCAGACATGTGCTGCTTTGGTTTTATTTTGTGATGCTGGGAATCTAGCCCAGAGCCTTGTTCATGTTACGCGAACATTCGATCACTGAGCTACATCTCCAGACCCAAGGACCGCCCCCACCCCACTTTCTCACCTGTAAAGTGGGGCAGATTCAAAAGTCTTCCTGCAGCCCCCCATCTTACCAGGTGGAAGACTCCTCACTCAGCCAGCTCTGCATCAGGTCCTAGGGAAGCCCCAGGCACTGCCACTATTGTCACGGCTACCCTGGCCTGACTCCTTCACCTTGCAGCCTGAACTTTATGCTTTTGTGTGTGTGGATCCGGAGCAGTTTTCAAGCAGATGTTTTCTAAAAGGAAGTAGCCAGGCTGGGAGGGACTGTGGAGCTGGAGGACAGAAGAAGGTGTTTCCTGTCTCTCAGCCTGGATTTGAACCCTGTGGTCATTGCCTGGGTTCCCCATGGAGAGGCAAGAGTCTCTTGACGATTTCAGGGTTAGAGGGCATGCGTGAGGTCTGTTTCACAAGATCTTTCCGCAGCTGTCCCAACAGAGGACACCAACCATTGCCTCTGAGCATGTGCAGCTGGCCGTGGCGATGCTGCGTGCCTTCAGAGGTCTGCAGCCTCCCTCCCGGGGAAGCACACGTGAGGTTGAAGCCCATTTCCATTCCTTAGAACTGAATGGCCATGGACTCGAGTATCCTCATCTGTGAAATGGCCATGAATCTTCCCTGTGTCTGGGATTAACTCTGAGATAGACAGGCAAAAGAAAAGAAAGGAAAGGAAAGAAGAGCCAGCTGAGTGTATAAATGGCAAAGAATTACATGCAATTGTAAATAATTCTCATTAGCATTCAGACTGGGCGTTAGCTGTAATTGCTCCTGATCCAAGACGCTTTATCTGAAAGCTGTACCTGGCAGAGGATCATTCAAGCCTCAGTCACCCGCTGCCCTCTCCTTTCACAGTGACGCGGAGCATTGCTGAATCTCGGGATGTAATTATAACAAAGTGTCTGCATCTTATAAGTGACTCACTTCTGCCATTAATGGTAGCAGAAGACTCAGCTACACTCTATCAGGGAACAATGCTGCTGATGCTGCCCAGGGAGGGGGTGGGAGGATGCCTCACCTCTTTTATGCACTCATCAACCCCATGGTAATTCTCTGCTGATCCTGCAGGAGGATCACAGGGACTAAAGCTGACAGCTCTCACTTGGCCTGGTGGCTTGCTCACATGGTGAGGGGCCATTGCACCTTGTTGCTGTTAGATGGATGTGTGTTAGCAACCATGGTGCCATTAAAAAGGAGGGAGTGGAAGGGGGAGATGAAAGCAGTTCCGGGGATGAGTTGAAAACGTAGCCGCTGGCGTCCGGTGGAGCTGAGTTTGGATGTGGGTTCTGCCAGTTTGTTAGTGAGCTCTGGGTGGGTTCCCAACTAGAGAACGACTCTTGTAGAGCAGGGACTTGGTCTTGTGAAGTACCCCCATTACATGAGGGGTACGATGGCTGCCTAGTGGAGAATTGAACCTTGCCTTTCTCATCTGTAGAATGGAGCCAGATAGGACAACACCTTCCCTAGGATTTGCTATGAGAACTAATTGAAGAAATGTTATTACCGGAGTAAGGACTCTGTGATGCCTTTGATGACAAATGGATGGACAGAAGGGAGGAAGTATTGTCCAGGTTAGGAGACAGACTATTAGTCTCTTACCCCAAGGCTACAAAAAAGCAATAGTACGAGCCAGAAGAGGGTCCTGTATTTAGTCAGCACTACAAGAGTGTTTTCACATTCATTTGCTCCTGACCCAGAGGCAGGAATCCCTGTCCTTGCTTTACAGGTGAGGAAACCGAGGTTGATGGAATAGTGCAAATGCTTGTAGCTCTTTCTACAGACAAGATCAATACACACCAAAGCCCGAGCTGAGAAGCAGTATGAAAAGGAACCGCTGGTCCTTCTGTGCTGTGGCTGGAGATAAACAATAGAGGGTGCTAGGCAACAGAGCTCACAGCACCCCTGCTTCTGCCCCCAGTGGCTCTCTTTGGGTGGGTTGCTAACATTGAGTTACTTCTTACAGGAGTTCCGGCTCATCCCGTGTTGATATTCTGCTGTGACTCAGGGCTTGCTGGACCTTCCATCCCAAGCTCCCAGCTCCCCTCAGAGCATTGCCCCTGGTGGAAGAGTGTTACTCTCTATTGCCCTCTAGAGGGTGGAAGGGGTAGTGTTGAGACTTCCATGAACATTGTATCTCTTTTCAATGCAGGGTTTTTATGACTACTTTTAACAGCCCATAGTGTGAATTCTTAACTTTCTCTTGATGACTCAGTACATCTTTTGTTAGCTATACTCCTTGATAGTTTGAGGCTGTTGCATCTGTTGGACATTTATATATTTTTTTTAAATATTTAGCTATTTATTATGTATACAATAGTCTATCTGTATGTATGTCTGCAGGCCAAAAGAGGGCACCAGACCTTATAACAGATGGTTGTGAGCCACCATGTGGTTGCTGGGAATTAAACTCAGGACCTTTGGAAGAGCAGGCAATGCTCTTAACCACTGAGCCATCTCTCCAGCCCAACATTTATATATTTTAAATTAATGTTCTGTTTGTTTCTTGTTAGGGAAATACAATTACATTTTGCAAATTGATTTTGCACCCAGAAATATTTTCCAAACTTCTTACTAATTAAAAACTGCCCTAGTTGATTCTTTAGAAAGCATGGCATATACAATGATAGGAGATACAATGAGCAATTTCATCTCTTTCTTTCTAATTCTCTCTATCCTCCTAAGACTTCAGTATGGTAAATGAAAGTATTCTATGGGCATTGTGCCTCTTGC